CCGGGGGGGGGGGGGGGGGGGGGGGGGGGTGAAGAACGAGGAGAGCCAGTTCTCATCATTGGAGTTGGTGTCTTGTGCACGAATACCCACGGGCAGCAAGCACACTGGCCGAGAGGGGCACACAGTGGCAGCCACCATATCTTTTATCTTCGATCCATAGCAGCCGGCGGGCGCCGTAAACGTCTTGAAAGAAAAAGCGCAGAATCGATTTTGTATCGCTTCGTGGATCCAAATAGCCACGCCGAATTTGAAAAGTCTGTCTGTCTGTTTACAATAGGCAGTCGAAAGAGATGATGTTCCCTTGAAAAGACTGAATGTACGGCCCGTGATGAAGTACCAAGCAGTTCGTACAAACGGGGGACAAATTGGCTTCTTATTTGGTGTGCGACAGGCTCAAAGCTGCTCGGGGATATGTACCGGCGGTAGACTAAATAGACGACACTCAATCGAACGAACGCAAGTGGCGTCCAACTTGCAGAGGGAAGGGGCCCTCGTCGGGCAGCACAAGCCATACCAAACAACATGCAGAAAAGTAGACATACGGGGACTTCCCTGGATACAGCAAGACATGTCGTGGGTATAGGAGATTGCGACCCCTCCCCTCTCTCTACACACATCACATTTACAACTCACATGCTCGTCGAGCTCAGCATGGCGATCGGCCGTGCTCTTTGGTCCCTTTTTCGGCTGCCTCGCGCGCTTCCTCTTCACAGCAGTATCTGCTGCAACCTCCACTCCTGACGCCACATCCGCTGCACTCTCTACGCTCTTCGAGCTCCGTGTGCTTGCTCTGCGCATGTTGACCACGAGCCCCGCCGTGCGCGTAGAGCAAAACAGCGGAAAGGGCAACAACCAGCAACCCTAGGACAGCACAGCACAGCACGAGTCTCGAAATGGGACTAAATAGGGGTCCCGAAACACAAAACAGTACCCCCATGCGGTATCTGCACTCAGTGTGGCACCCATTTCATGTGTTGTCCGCAGATGCAACCAACACAGCAAATGTGTTCCGAGCTGCCAGGCTGTGGTGTTGTGGAGCTAGACCCAGCCGTCACACACACACTCTCTCTCTCTTTCTCTGCCTCTCGTTCTTGTGGAGTCGGGCGAAGTCGTCTTCCGTTTCTGCTGTGTTGAACCACACACACCAGCCGGGGAATGCACAGGAATTCCGAAATTACGCCGCTTGTTGTGCGGGAGCGCGGTTCCGAGTCAAGCGGGAACGGTAGCCCCAACACCCATCCAAAGCAGGTTCGAAAGGGTTGTTTCGTGCCTACTCCCAGGCCATAACTTGCAACAGCAATAGTGCACATCTGTCTCGTCTAGCACTGCTGCAACACCTATGACGACGTAGCTGATAGAGATACGTTCAGCAGTATGTATGAGGTTCAGAGCATCATCTGTATGTTCGTAATTTCAAAAAAGAGTCGGTTTGAACGGTTAGGGCCCCAAGTCACAAGTGTTGGATCACATGATCACGGTTCGGGCTAGCGAGGCTGCTGGTCTATTGTACTTTGTCTCCACCCGCCGACTCGATAGCGAACAAGCCTCCTTGTAGATGGCCCAGCTGTTACACTTGTAGCAAGAATGCCCCACGCGCGCTACTTACGACATGTTCACTTCGAAAACTGCGAAATTCGAACTTTCCCAGGACAACCCCTTCGGCTGCGAGAAACTGAACTGCTGTTTTCTAGACTGACTAACTACGTATGATTGTGGCGAACGGCGAACGGCTCTCTCCGATACTGCACCTGTCCCTACTATTGTACCGCTCTTCTGTGTTGGTGGTTGAACAGCAAGGCAATGGAGCTAATAGCACTGCCAGGAGCCCTCCAACCCCGGCCAAAGCTCGGCTGCGCAGGCTTCACTCGGCGCCCATCAAGAACTTTCTGGCAACGGGGATTGACGTAGACTCGCTCAGGCGAGTAGAGTAGAGTATATACTAATCACAGCTCAAACGACGCCATAGGAATGCGGTTTTGGCGGACACCTGCTGCTGCAAAACTTTCTCGAGGGCGTCTGTCAGATCACGAAGCGACGAGTGTGGGATTTTGTGTTTGTCCTTGTTGCGTCCGTTCAACTATTTATTTGCCAGAGAGTGCTCTCAGTTGCATCTCCCACGCTTGCCCCTCGCGTCCATCACCATTACAAATAACTTGGTGCTTACCAAATGGAGTCCACCATTTTTCATTTTCGACCAAGTCGTAAGCACCACTGCATTCGAAAATAGAGCTAGCTGGGAACAGAGTGAGCACGGCGTCTGTTGTTTTTGACGACAGTGACCTTAATAGTATTTTATCATCACTTTCACCAGCATCGAATCGTGGCAGCGTCTTCAGAGCGACTGACTCATAGACTACTGCTGTTACGCTAACTACAGCCTTATCATGAAGACGAGGCGTGTAATATGCCCAAAGTCGGGAGCTCCTGGTACCATCTAATTGAATATCGATACTTATTGTTGGTCGTGTTCATTAACAGCCTGACCTATTTGTTTGTAATTCCTCCGTTTCGGCGGTCGCGCGAAGCGCCAAAACGTGTCATATCTTGTACTATTAATAGGAACCTGGAGGTTAAGGTTCACCAGCATTATGCCTGATAACTGACCCACGACGAACAAACACACCCATCCCCGGATTTCCTGATTTGCTTCATGAAGAGATGCCAGCAAGATTTTAGCCTGCATGTTGAAGCTTACGAGCAACAGAGTCGGTGCTTGAAGCGGCCACCGTTCGGTGGTGTCAACTGCTGGGCTATTATGGTATCGGGAACACTTTGAATTGATTCTCGTTTGCTGTACTTGGTCGTCCTTCGCTCAAATTTAGTTGGAGAAGAGCAGAGCTTGTGTTTTCGTTTAATCTCGGATGCAAAGAATTGTGCTGGGGCTGGGTCGGTGTATCGTGACAAAAAATCGTTTATTGAGACTACCGCCATTATGTTTCGGTGTTGTTTATGCTTTGCCGCTTTTGGCATGGACGAACTGCTCTAGATCTTGTACCCGTGTTCACGAGCCACATATTTTCAGGATACGCGTGGTCGGAGGAGGGAAATCATTGAAATAATCAATTTACCTGTGCTTGTTTGCGTTGGTCTGCTCTGAGCAGGTTATCCTACGCGGCGAAGCTTATTCTCGCAGCGGTGGAAGGTAGACACGTCGAGAGTGCCGTTGACCTACTCGTCCCCAAGGGGAGCTTCGTCAACCCCCTCTCCTACACGGTTTACAGGCAAGAAACAAGCGCTGGGGATGCTGTCTATCTGTCGTGGGGGGCTAGCTATGTTGCGGTGCCCCCAGCATGCAAGGGTTGTGTCGTTGCTGTGTCGTGGTTCATGCTGTTGCCATTGAGATTTGCTTGTTGTCGGTCGTCCCTGCGGGCAATGCTGCAACGTGAATCGCCTCTCTTTAGAGCTCTAAATAGGGCCAGTGACAGCAAGAAGCGGCTGCAAGGATATGTCGTAGAGCTCGCAAGGGAACACCCCCACCCCCTGTGGGATGATTTTCCCGTCTAGATCGTATGCAAATGGGTTGTACGGATGGCAGCACCGGAAGCGATGGCCGTGTTGAGGGTATCTCGTCGACAACTTCCTGATGAAGCAACCAAGAAGTTTTTGGAAGAGAAAGAGAGCCCAGACCATGTGATCGCTTGAACCAGTCAATCTAACCGTTGACCTTTCTAGTCAACCCTATCTTTCAAACGGTATCTCTGGCGGACGAATGGCACGCGAATTATCAATCATCGGCTGATGATCCCTTGTAACGTGGGGTTTGACTGCTGTGTGTCTTTTCCGTTGGGCACACGCTTCCGTTCGAACGGATGGAGATCATAGGCCAAGCACTGCCTCCAATGAACGAGTGCGCCCCTCTGGCTGATGTCCGTTGCACCGTCGCCTCTTTGACCGCGGTTTTTCACCGACGATTATTCGTACGACACCAAGGTTTTAACAAGCTTCCTTTCTTACTTGCTTGCTTGTGCGACACAACGCCGCCACACCTGCCACCTTTGCCAGTCCAATACTCGTTGGAATAATCCTGGGGCACATGGTGCTCGCGCTGTGGGAGGGAGGCATGTCCCCGTTCCCCCTGCATCCCGCGGTAGCGGCGACCGAGGTGTTTTTCTCCCTCTGCTACGCGGCGCACATCTTCCTCAACCTTTGGACGTTCGGCGTCAAGCAGTACAGGTTAGTGGCTGTTGTAAAGTAGCCACTCAGCGTTCCTGCAACTGTTTATGGTTGCTGTCGGGGATGTTGTTCTCGTCGTCGTCACAATCGCGCTGTTGACTGTGGTTCGTTGAATTTGTTGGTGATGTTGCTCTTGATGCCTCTACAACAGTTGTCGAGGTCCCGTCGTCGTCGTTGTTGTTGTTGCTGCTGCTGGTATCGTTTGAAGTAGTCAAGGTTGGTCTACATAGCACCTCTATTGTTTTGCGCCGTTGTCGTCGGGAATCGCAAAATCTTATGGATGTCTTGCCTGTGCTCTCTCTCTCTCTCTCTCTCTCTCTCTCTCTCTCTCTCTCTCTCTCTCTCTCTCTCTCTCTCTCTCTCTCTTCCTCTTTCCTTCTTTTTTTTTTTTTTTTCCTTT